TAATAATTGTCCCATGATCACTATTGTTTAGTATCAGCTGAAGGGGGAACAATAATTCAGTGAAAGACAGACAAAGAACTTGGAAGTAATGGATGTGGAAAAGCACCGGACATAGGAACATGAAAGCAGAATTTATACAATAAATCCTTAGAATCCAGATGTGTTGTGCGTTGACATTTTTCAGTTCCATTCTAAGTCAGACAAACTTGCGGCTTACTGACAAAACACCCACCTTCTACTGCAATAAAGTGCACTTTCTAAATAAAAGCAGTGAAATTGCTAGCAAGAAACTACAGTAAACATAGCTGCAATTTTTACAGCTCTTTTCTGAAATTACTAGTTTACTAAATTATTAGTTATTGCAATACCTAAATGCTAAGTACAATTATAAGGTGGTATATTGCTTATCAACTATAAAGATATTGAATAAAAGATTACAGTTCAGATGGGAGTCAATTTGACAACATATTGTTCTGAGAGGCTATGCTAACAAACGAGTAAGTTGTTGTGTACATTGCTAGAGTATTCTGGCACCTCACTCATTTTGTTCCCCTCTTTCACATTTGCACTTAACACCTTCCTGTGGATATGCTTCTCATTTATCAGCTTTGTTTGTCCCGTTGACAAGCAGGCTGCTTCCGGAATATCAATATCACCAAAGACAATGCATCGGGCTGCTGAGCCTGTAACCTTCAGCTAAATGTCATTCTGCTTAATCCTGTTTGAAAATTAAACAAAACCTTTACTCCCTCCCCCCCACCTTCTTCATCTCACACGTTTGTGACATTTGTAAATATTGTGTTTTTTTTCTTGTTCCTTTTATTTGTTTGTTGGCTTTAAATAATGACTGGCTACAGATGATGAAGTGAAGGAATTGGATATTTAGAAACTGCTGTCGTGACCCTCATGCTGGTTTCATCTCAACTACGGCCGGGGCTTTGCAGTCAGAATGAAGGTTTGGTGGCAAGTGTGCCGGCATGCCTAGTGTGAGAGTGGGGTGGAGAAAGGGCCCCCACCTGCCACCCACACTTGTCCTGACAGGTAAAAGCTCAGTGGGTTTTTCAAAGTAGGCCTCGCTTAGTGTGTTAGCAGGAACATGGCGGAGATGGCGGATAGGGGGGGCTTTCATGCATCCCACATATATTTACATAAACAAATCCTCTCCATATAGAAGGTAATTACTGCAGTGACAGTTTGGGGGGGTGAGATAGAGGATGTCTAATGTAACGAGATGCACACTGACTGAAGCAGAAACTCCATCAAAGGGCTCGCAGTGGAACCTGTTCCTTGCACACGCAAACACCTGCATATAATAGCCACATTTTTCCCCTAAGATATATGATTATGCTGTGAGCATTGTTTCCATGTGCAGAAAAATACTCGTTCTATTCAGCTGCATTAAACAGAAAATCATTTACCGTTAAGTAAAGGAGTGATATTTTTACAGCCAAAACCAGACTCAGTGAATACACTCCTTGACTGTATGTGCAGCATAAATGATGGCAAGACATAGAGTTGGTGTCATTCCTCATTCCTTAGACTTACACTTGGTTTTAAGATGTGTCTTGGGTCATCGGATCGCAAGTGAACAGTGCTACATACAACTGTAGGCAACCACCAAAATGCATTGTAAGCCGATCACTCAAACCACTAGTCAAGGTTGCCTGGGACACATTTGATCACATGTGTTTTGTACTGTAAACTCTAATGTGTCCTGGATACGTCCCTGACACGGATGCTAGAATAACTGTGTGTGGGGCCATTTGACATTCTAGCAGAAGTGACATTGGCAGTAACGAAATCTTAACACAAGTGGGCAGCTGGGCGCCTTAGAGATGTGTGATAGATGGTTTAACAAATCGACGTTGGCTTAAAAATCAAGTTATTGGGTCCAACGTCAGTCCAGTATTGCCGACTTTATNGATAGATACATGTATAAACGGCGATGTATCCCAAGACGTATTTTAAAAATAAAGTGTAAACAGGGCCTTAAAGTTATTCTGTGTGTTTGTTGACTCTACATTATACAACAATCCTCAATCTGAAATGTTTCCAATATCCAAGAAATAAATTGGAAATATCAGACATTATTTTTACTTTTTGCTTTTCTGATGGATAGAGGTAAGGAGCATGCACTGATACAGTGGGTTGCCACACAACAAACCACCTCAGGGATGTGAACAGGAGTATAGTGATGTGGCAGGTGATACCTCAGCACCACACTGAATGAACCAGTGTGGGTTTTCATTCCAGTGGCTGGAGTGCCAGTCCTGTCACCAACCCCCAAGCTTTTCCCTGTAAGTTGGAGGACCTTCTTACAGGGCTGGATATAGAGTAACGTCATACCCAGGTTAAGGGCCTTGCTCAAGGGCACAACGGAGTAGAATCACTCCGGACATTCACAGGATTCGAATCAGCAACCTTCGAGTTGCTGGCACAGATCCCGAGCCTCAGAGCCTCCACTCTGCCTGATGGATAGGAAGAATGAAAAAGTACCTTACATTTAAAAGTGAATGCTTAACATTTTTTTATCTTAAAGAATCAACTGTTACTGCCCAGATAATTGCCATGAACTATTGATTCCAGTTTTGGTTATTAAAAAAGAACTGTTATATCACAGAAAATATGGGTAAAATAAAGTCTGCTGTCATAGTAAGGATTCGAATGTTAAGGAAAATGCTTCATTTGTCGGATTGTCAGTTTCTTTACTGCACTGGGTGTTTTAAAAGTTTATTGAAAAATTGCTCCGTAATAATCCAGAGCAATGCTTTTACACAGAATGGTGCAATTAACCTTACTTCCCAGTGACCCACAAAACTTATACTGTAACCAAGACAGACATGCTCTGTCAATCGGACCCAACACATCTGCAGAAACTTGGATGGCTCCACCCTGTCCTGCTGCCAGAAGCATTAGAACATTCTGGTAATCCTTGTTGACAAGATCTTCTTGGGGATCACACAAAACCGATGACCCGTCATAACTTCCTAAGGAACATGAGAATTATCTGCCCACACCTTACAACTCTCAATGGGGGTGCCATAAAGGGGGGAAGTTTGGATGATTCCAAGGGTCTCTGAGTGATAGAGGCACTAAAAATTTAGAAAATAATTAGATTGGTTAGGGTTCAAGGTATAGTGTGATGTACTTTCATGGGACCCAAAATCTCTAGTGGTACCCCTGACTCTCAGATCTTTGGTCGCTGCGTCTCCTAATGCTGATCTACCTGGAGTATCTACTTGTTGGATCGACTTCTGGTCCATGATGGTGTCCGGCTACCAGAAATTTTATGCCCATCTTGTACTTACTGATTAACTCATTATTGCAGTGCACAATGGTGTAAGTCTGAGACACAGCAAGACCCAATATATCTGCAGTTTGAAGGGCTGCCAACTTTGAGTAATATATTGAGTGAGATTTAGAGTAAGGTGGGGGTGAGGTGGGGATGCTTAATGTTGGAAGTGCGCCTGTTTTAACCCCAAACTCTGCATATTCCCATGTGAAAAGTAAGAATACATACATACATACATAACTTGTTTTACATTGATCACATATGGTCATATTATATCAAGATATACTATGCTTGTATGGCCAATAAATGTGACCACTAGCATCATGTTGGATCATGTGTCATACCTATATGAATCATGTATGACAGGGGCCATAATGATATATGTTCAGTAGTACCATATATGAAACACAATGTTGTTCTGTGTGGATGGAGAGTAGGCTTGGGACATCTCGGTATAAGACAGTATTTTGGGTGTGACTGTATGTGTGGGAGAGAGCAACTTTGCCTGCTACGTACCAGTTATGTACTTTGCTGAATACGCTAGATGACTTATTTTAATCCAGCTAGCAAAACTAAGCATATTAGATACAATATGCACACAAAGGAGAACAAGTAAATGCAGTGTGAACTACAAAAAAGTTAATGTGCATCTATGCAAAGCAAATAAGCCATCTAAGAATTACAGACCAAGAGATTGTAAAACGCACAGGATACAACACACAACAGAACAGAGTTTACATGTATAATGTCGTGTTTCTGCATGTAATACAGGTCAAACACAATAAAGATTGCTCAGAGATGTTTGAAATGCTTTCTCTTTCTCATGCACATGAGTGATGGAAATATCCTGTAGTCGATGGGGAGGGACTGTAAGCATAGCAGGCCAATCAGCTTTGTTGCTTCCAGGAAATCCAATGAGAAAATGGTAAGAATCGCTGAAGGTAGACATGGACATTCATCAGTAATTGGATGACAACCAGCTTCGGAAAGTACACGTTATTTGTATAGGGTACTCCTTTCTGGATATTAGGCTAACCCCCAGGTAATATAACAGTTGGATAGAACTGTAAAACTTGCAGGAGAAATTACAAGCTTATCTTCTGAATCATGGGAGTTTTACGGTCAGTGTGGGACAGTGGGCAGCCCGGTATTTGCATTCATAAAAATAGTTACACTGCTTATATGTGGACCCCATGTTTGTTTGGTTACCAATCATTGTTTCTTTTTTCCTTTTATTTAAAAACTGATCTAACATTCTTATAACTAAAGGCTGTATGTGTCCTGAGGGAGGGACTCAGGTCTCAGCTTCCATAGTGAGGCGTTAAAACTACCATTTTTTGAAAGCTCTTTTAAGGAAAGTAAAGAATATGTGGTGTAATTGTCTTTGTACTTATTATTAAAATGATTATTGATCTAAAATTAAATTAAATTAAATTAATAATATAGTGAAATGAAAATAATATAACAACATATAATTATCTTATATATAACAGTGCAAAGAAACCGACTTGAAATCATTTTCAATATTTAATAATATATTTAATAAGCATTTCTTGCGTGTGCTGGCATATTTTGGAAACTCTCCAAGTTGTACTTCTTGCAGATCCTTAAAACTGTGTGGGTTTTTTTGAAGAGTGTGGCAGACTGTATATTATAGTATTAGGGTAATAAAGGGTGATGCTAATGCAGATCTGTCTTCACATTTCAGGTGGGAATTGCAGGAGGAGGCTGCTCTTGAAGATGAAGAGAAAACTCTGGTGGATCACTTGCAAAATGTCTATTTCAAAACCAGCCTGGGATCGTAGGACTTCTCTTGTGTCGTACTGGAGCACACAAGCTGTCCTGCCCGACAGAAGCAAACGTTTACAATTAAAAACATGCTTGACTTAAATGGCTTGTTCAGTGGGTAGTCTTTCATAAAACAGACATTTTTGGCATTTTCACTCGAGCAGCACAATGACAAACAACAAGGGAGAAGGATATAAAAATTCTTTGATTATCTGTTACTACAGCAGAAGCATAGAGATCTTTTTAGACTCATTTTGTTATGTTTGTTAAATTGTGGATTTTTCTGTTTATTGTCTTTGTCTGAAAAAATTACAACTGTAATTGCATGTTTAGTTTCAGATATGCGTTTATGACAGTTTTTCCCCATCTGGCATTGTATATTATTGTTATCATTTTTTTTAGCTTTCACCGTTCCTAAGCTCTATTGAAACCAAACAATGTTGAAAGAACTTTTTCCGCTTTATGTTCTGTATGTTTTGTATGATGCAATTTTTCTTTTCAAAAATCAGATGTAAGATATTACTTATTCTCAGTTTAATTATATTTCTGTTTTATTATTATCAGTCAACTACTGAATGTAGTTAAAGGAAACAAATACAATATCAAATAAGAAACAAAATTAAATTTCGTTAACATCTTAGGTACTAAAAGTATGTATTTAGCTATTAGTAGGTGTGTTTGGTGTATGCTGAAACTAATACAAAAAAGTGAAGTGATTTGAAATATGAATGAAATTCTTTCAGGGAAATACAATTTTTGTGAAATTCTGGTGGCTTGAATAGATGGATGGTTTAAATGGATGATGGGCATGAATGAGACAACTGATTTTCTTTCTCTTTTTATATCACTGGCTGTCGGAGAATTAGGTAGCCCAAAATACTGAGCAAAAAGTTCTGAGCAAAACAAGAAACATGACTATGACATTTAAGTGCCTTCATTATCTAGTCATCTATCCAGATGCCTGAAATAGCTTGACGTACATTCTTTTTCCTGATTAAATATGAACATAAGAAAATTCTGTCTAGATCAGTTGTTACATTTGGAAATGCAATATGAGCTGATAAAAGTAATATATGTTCAAAAGAAACTAATTCCTTTGTGTGGGACTTATTTAGGTTGATAGTGCGTACCATAGATGCACATTTTCTAACTTTGTGTGTAAGTTGCAACCACTTGGAGATGACGTGTATGGTGGTAACCCTGCAGTTCACTTAAATTATATCCATCCATTTTCTAACCCCTCATCCTAGCCATGGTCACAAGGGGCCTGGAGCCTATTCCAGGTGGCACAAGGCAGGGGTACAATGTGGATGGCATGCCAGTATTCACTTAAATTCCCTCTCCAAATTACCTCCACTCATGGGGCCTGGCCGAGTATTAGCTCGAAGAAATAACACGGGTCCGTCCTCCTGTGGGCCTACCACCTGCAGGGGGAGCCGGTGAGGTCGGATGCAATGTAGAACGGGTGGCAGTCGAAGGCAGGGGCCTCGGCAGACCAATCGCCAGCTACCAAAACTGCCTTTAGGTACATGGAACATAACCTCTCTGATGGGAAAGGAGCCTGAACTGGTGAGGGAGGTAGAGAGATACCAACTAGATATAGTCAGGCTCACCTTGATGCACCGTGGGGGTGGGCGGATACACCGGTGTCATACCAATTACCGGTGTGATTGTCCGCCACGATATGGATTTGCACTATACCGCTAACACCTCGAGAAGTCAACAGCCTAATTATACAACAGCTTATTTATAAAAAAATAAAGTTTTTTTTTTCAAAGCTTCAGTGGTATTCTGAATACTTGTCTTTATATAGTATATGTAACTGGTTTATCTGCATTGTGTGAATTTTCTGTCAAACATACGTTGATGCCAAGTCGCGAAAGAAAAATTAACAAATAAAAAATAAACAGATTTTATGTAATTGGCTATCAGACAATTAGGCATGCATCTGGCATGACACGCTTTTTGACTCTCACACTCACCCAAGAAATCTTATGGCAAATCAATATTCAGTTATAAACCTAAAATTAGCTACATCAAAACTGCTGGGGTAGTTTGCAAACCCTACAGACTGTTTGCAAGATAATAAAACTCTTACATGTGTATGGAGACTCATGAATTGAAAATCTCACGCCAGACAGCTTTTTAAAAATATATATATAAAGGGACAGGACATCCTACTCCTCCCAAAACTTGTAAAAAAGTAATACTGTGATATAGTACCGTGATAATAATTTTAGGTCATATCCCCCACCCCTAATGCACGGCTCTTACTCAGGAACCAAACTGCTGGAGAGGGGCTGAACTCAATGCCACTCTGGCGTTACCCATGGCGAGGGGCACTGAGCAGGGGTAGGGCTACTTATAGCTCCCCGGTTCAGTGCCAGTGCGTTGGAGTTTACGTCGCCCGGGTTGGGGGCCTCAGGATAGTATCTTTGATTTTTGCAGATGATGTGGTCCTGTTGACATCATTGGGCTGTGACCTGCAGCAGGCACTGGGGCAGTTTGCAGCTGAGCCTGAAGCAGCCGGGATGAGTATCAACACCTCCGAGTTTGAGGCTATGGTTCTCAACCGGAAAAGGGTGGATTGCCTTTGTCTGGTGGGGGATGAGTTACTGCCTCAAGAAGAGGAGTTTAAGTATCTTGGGGTCTTGTTCACAAGTGAGAGAAGAAGGGAGCAGGACATTGACAGGCAGTAAGGCGGACGCTGTACCATTCTGTTTTGGTGAAGAGCTGAGCCAGAAGGTAAAACACTCAATTTACTGGTCAATCTATGTTCCTACCCTCACCTATGGTCTATGAGCTCTGGGTAGTGACTGAGAATGAGATCACAGATTCAAGCGGCTGAAATGAGCTTCATCCGCAGAATGGCTGGGCTCAGCTTAGAGAGAGGGTGAGGAGCTCAGACATCTGGGAGGGGCTCACAGTAGAGCCGCTGCTCCTCCGCATTGAAAGGAGCCAGTTGATGTGGTCGGGCATCTGCCTAGGATGACCCCTGGACGGTTCCCTGGGGAGGTGTTTTGGGCATGTCCAACCGAGAGGAGTCCCTGGGGTAGACCCAGAACATGCTGGAGATCTCTCAGCTGCCCTGGGAATGTCTTGGTGGAGCAAGTGAAGGTGACTGGTGAGAAGGAGGTCTAGGCATCCCTGCTTAGACTGCTGCCCCTGACCCTGGATAAGTGGCGGAAATTGGATGGATGGATTTTATTATCTATACATCTATTATATTCAAGTTAGAAACAGACATATACTGCATGTATGTGTACACACACACACACACACACTTCTTCCTCCAGTTCTTAGGTACACCTGCTTGTTAACACAAAGCCTGATTCCTGCTCCTCCAAACAGTGAATCATGTATCAGAAACTGAATATCAAGAGGTCCAGTTACTGAGTGGGTAAACATTAGAACAGCTAAGACATGTGCCTTTTAACATGATGATTGCTGGTACCAGACATGGCGCTTCCACCATCTTCAAAACAGCCGCTCTCTTGGGGTTTCCATGTACTTGTGTTTACAGATAATGGTATGATAAACAAAAAAATATATATAAACAAAAGCTCAGTGTAACAGCATTATGCAAAAATGCATCCCTGCAGTGGTTTTGGAGACAACAGGGGGTCCTACCTGGTATTACATAAGGTAAATAATAAAGTGACCATTGTGTATATAATGCTTTGTACCATGGAAGTTGCTGTGTACTCAGGATATCAGTCCCAGCATGCTTTGCAGCATGTATAATGCCAGACCTGCTGTTTGCTTTAGCTTTACTTCTGTCCTGTGTTGGATTCTGTTCTATGTTATTGTTGTGTTGCACTTAGATGTTAAAGTCCATCTAGGAGGCCACCCCTCCACCTTTCTATTGCTGTTTCTCAAAGATGATGTTATGGGGAAAGCAGCATTTACAATATGTAATACTGTTACATGTAAAACTGTTACATGTAAAAACGGCCATTCCTTTACTTGTTTCCACTCATTAAAACGTTTTATCGCCAGTATGACTATTAATGATAGTCATAATATTTGCTACTTTTTGAATTACAGACGTAATTTCAAACCAGTTGTTTTTTAGTTCAGAGTGTGGCGCTGTCTTTTTAAACGTTCGGCGCAGTCGGCCATGTCAGCAGAGTCCGCAGCTTCCGTTTCCGTATCATCCTTCCTTCCTGTTTTTCACTTTTTTCTTTCTTTTTTTTTTTTAAAGGAAGCTGAGGGTTCCGGATGTTTATGTTCTTTACTCTTTCAGATTGCAATGGTACGTGAATTAAATAAGCGTGCATGCCCATAATCACACACGTAGCTGTCTAAAGGTTAGCCGCGCGCTCCGTGCGCGCGTGCAGTGTGTGCGCGAACGCATTGCTCGCGGAAACGGCATTTGTCAAGTGATATTACCCGCTTTACTTTCTTTATAACCGAAGTGGCTAACTACCTGTCTAGGTAAATTGTTATTTAATACAGCAAAGTAACGAGCTGTAGTTAATTGTGGCTGATCCCTTTACTCGTATCTGTAACCTAAGGTGACTTATGTCATCGGAAACAGCATATACATGGTTGTGTTTCACATGTTGCTCATAGCAGCTTTCTATACTGTCTTGGCTAATACGCTAATCATATGTTAAGTTGTCTATATATATATATATATATCAAAAATCAAAAATGACTTACGCATGCTAGTTTCACTTACCGCACAGCAGATACATTTATTTTTTGTTCCGCTGGCTTTTTAGTGCTAGGGAGTGCTACGATAAATAAACACTTAACCCCCTTTAAATACAAGTGATGCTAAGTATCGTTACTGTCAAAATACCATTTGGTACCTAAATGAATGTTGATAACATTCCTAATAACTGAACAGTCGTTGTTTAATAGGTCGTAGCGGTTATTTGCTATTGTTTTATTGTCTTTCCCTAAGTTATTGGCAACTATTGCTGTGACAATGGGACTCGTTAAGCAACTGATCTAGTTAAGTTTATTAGCGGGTAAGTGCTCATATATGATGAGGATGTCCTATTCATTTATATTTTAATGAGCCGCTTATATCCTACCTGTTCCTAGTCTGAGGAGTGATTATGTACGATGCCCCAATCACTGTAATTCTATGTCTTTTGTGTGGCTGCTCTTTTACTTTATTGGAGTTTATATGACCCCATATGAGGCCACTGAAATGAATGTTTAAAACTTTTTGTAATATTTTTAAAAACGTTTTTTTTTTTTGCATGGAGATAGTATTATTGTAGAATGGATGAATATTTAGCAGCAACGATCTTTTCTGTGTGTAACTATTTAGGCTAACGTGCAGTGATTGAACAGGGCGGAAAATCAATGGTTGTGAACGCTTATGGTTATATAATACTCATTTTGTGGATAACCATGGCACAGCCGGGGGGTCAAGAAAAAACAACAGCACTCAAAGGTAAACAATTTATAAGTAATTTTAAAATAATTTTAATACATTTTAACAGTTTAACAGTTTTCAGTCTGCCTAACAATTTTAGACTTGTGGTCTTTATAATTTTAATTGGTCCATTATTCACAAATGGTGTTGTAAAATGCATATCTCCTGCCTGTCTTCTGTAAGAGAACAATACTGCACTATTAAAAATTATGCATAGCATATAATTCTGTTTGGATGGGTTAATTTGTAATGAATCATGGATAAATTGACTCAATCAACATATAGTTATAGAACTCATTAACTGTAGATGAGGCTATTATATACTGATAAAATTATATAAACACACACACACACATAAATGCATGTAATATAAGTTAAGAGCTGTATTGAGAATGACAAAAAATAAATTGGTGAAATACTATCGTATTATCGCAAACTGTATTTTATATAGACTCTTCTGAAATAGACTGGGAAGCAAAAGGTATTTGCAGAAGTTGTAATATCCAACCCCAACAAAGACAGTGAGTCGCAGGCAGGCATGGGATGCCCCTCGGTAGTGTGCATCCTAGTGCTGCATTTCTGGTCCCCTCATCATTATAGTGCCATTCCTGCTTAGTGTAGACGTAGATGGTGACCAATTCTGACTGCGGTGTACAAAGATGCGCCTGCGGCCTGTCAAGATCTTCATTCATCTTATTGAAGGTGGCAGTGTTTCTTTTTCCAGACAGATGGACACTGCGATCTGTGTCCAGGTCCCACTCAATCACAGTCACTGTGCAGCCCTCAGATAGCATGCTGCACATTTTTGTCACTATTTACCTTTCATATTTATGCTTTCCTCCCCTTATTAATGTGGAATGCCTTGTCCAGAAGAACAACCTACTTTAACAATGGCTGTATTTGAACTTATGAACTTGTTTACTGGAGCTGAAAGTATAAGGTCAAGTTGGGATATGAGCTATATGAGTGTAAATAAATTTGAAAATGATTGTGGTTTGGCTCTCCTTCGTTTCCTGCGAGCAAAAAGCATTATCAAGCATTATTGATTGCATTTTCCCTCACTTCTCTCCCCTTGTACAGATTTGCTGTCTAGAATAGATTTAGATGAGCTCATGAAGAAAGATGAACCACCTCTTTATTTTCCCAGGACCCTAGAAGAATTTGAGTATGCCTTCAATGACCGTAAGTATCACTCTGAATGGCGCTTTCTTTTGACTGTGTGAAATGGGCATTATCATGTGATGATAGTTTCTGTCAGATCAATCATAATTGTGTCAGGGAGACTTCAGACTCTCTCTCAGATTATGGTACTGTGTATCTGCCATGGGCTGTCAGTAACCTGTTCATGCTTCCATAGATGCTGATCGAAGATTTGCATAAACTTCCTTCTGACTCCTCCAGGCCTTTTCTGGTTTCATGTCCCGAATATATTACAGGGCTTTGGTTTTTATACAAACGTACACACACACACACACACACACATACACACACAGATGTGTGTGTATGTGTGGGCATCATAAAGTTTTTGAATTTGGTGTCTCCTAAAACACTCGGATGAGAGCTCTTTTTTTATGAAGTCCTGAGTAAAACTTAGTAATATTTAATACTTTAAGATAGTGAAACATGCAACACACTTTCTTTTGTTTCTTGCAGGCATTTTATTTTTATCATAAAGCTGACGGCTTCATCACGGTAGCCCTCAGCTTCTTCATTACTGGAAATCCAAGGTTATGTACACCTAATTAAGCTAAAGAAATTAGAACAGCATGCTAATTATCCAGAAAAAAAGAAAAAGTTGGGAAAGCATATTCCTTGGAGAGGCTGTGTTGTGAAGGCGATGGAGCTGAACTTTCAATGCATGTTCTGTTTCATTATAATCCTGTCTTCCTTCTGTTAGGCACTGCTGTTTAGAAGATTTCATTTCTCCCATCCATGAATGCATAATTGATTTCTTTTAGCTACTTTTGTTCAGTTGCCTTTTCAAACCTATTTCACTCTATCTCCGAGGAATGAACAAGCTTTTAACATTACATGTTGTTGAAAGACTAATGATATAAGCAAATTGTAATTTTTATTGAGTGAGCAACTGAAGATTTATTGTGTGGTTATCACATGTAAGTGGTTCATTTTGAAAGGTTTAAACAATCCTTTATCTTCAAAGATGTTTTCACTTTTTCCAAGATAATTGAGCTTAGTCCCTTGAGCTATTTGGGTTAACTATGCACGTTGTTTTTTGTGTTTGTGTTTATAATCATATAGGTCGCAATTAAATTTAACACTGTTTTGGGTTTTGTTATACATTGTCAAAGGAGCAATAAATTGGGCTAATTTTTAATATATCTGAAAATATGAATCGCAATTGCACTTCGGTTGAAAATATAATAAACTCTCAATTTGCTTTCTTTTATTTCAATGCATTCCTATCTAAATTGCACATAAAACAATCTGTAAAATTAACGGGTAATTGTATTGCATCTCAGCCCTAAAACCTCAGAAATGCAACTGAAATGAAAACTGCCACTCTATTTTGAGCCTTGCTGTAAATAGTCAGTTGTATTTATTCTAATAGTACCTAAAAGACTAAATACACTAATTATGATGTGTTCTTTTCACCTTCTCTGAAATCCACTTCCTCATTTGCCTAAGCAGTCCTTGAGAGTTGTCAGGTTTTCGCCAGTTTATGGCTTTATTGTATGACCCGGAACGATGGAATTTGATGAGCTCTTTGTGCCCAGTGTGGGTGAATGTGATTGGCTGAGCCTCAGAGGCTATGCCATCGAAGAGGGAGGGATGATAGTGGTGGTTTGGGCTGGGTTGCCCTAGATCTCAGGTGCATTGGGGTACAGGGCGGAGTGTGGTGAAGCGTCGGGCCAGCTGTCTGGGCTGTGTCTGCCAGTTGTCCCCAAAGGACAGGGGAGCCGTGACTGGAAGCGGGCTCGGCGTCCCCAGGCTGTGTACCTGCCAGATGGGGGATGTGAGCCAAACACATTTAATTGCGTAAAAGAAAAAGATGCACATTCACCGAACTAAATTTAACTGAAGGTTAAATCCAGTTTGAATGTTGTCTTTTGGGAGGCAGAAGCTCGTTTAGTGTTTATTTAAAAAAATAAAAAAAAAACCTGAAATTGTGAAAGTTCTTTACACAGTTTGGTGACCTTTTCAGGGTAATACTATGACTCTACCAAAGACTCCTTTTCCCAGTTCAGAATGGATTTATTGAAGTTGCTATTGTCTAAAGTCATTACTCCCTGTACAGTGTAATGTGGGGAAATAATTCTGGGGGAAAAAATAATGTTTCATTTTCCCCCCCCTCTCTCTAGAGGGACAGCTGAGGCACATAAAGACTGGAGAACCATTTGTGTTCAATTACCGGGAGGACTTGCACCGGTGGAACCAAAAGCGATATGAGGCCCTGGGCGAGGTATACAGCTCAAATTTTCCTTCTTGAAGTTGTAATATTTTGCATACTTTGTATGTTAGCACTTATTTCTGTTTGTGTGTATTTATATGTTAAAGTATTTTGATAAAATGATGGGAAATGAGCAAATACATTTTTTTAAATGATGCCAAGTAATAGCATTGTAGTAACAGATAAACTGAATTTTCTATATCAGTTTAAACTTTTTAACGTAATTGAATTGTAAGCTGTTATGAAATGCACTTACTGACAAGGGTATCACAATTGCAGCATGGACACATACAAACATACATACATACATACATACATACATACATACACACTTTCCTTGTAATCCAGTCTTACGTCAATGAATAAATAGCCTAATACTTGAACCCCCTTTTCCCCCTCCAAGTCAGTGATGTCAGCCTTGTTAAATACCAATGAGGCTGACAGGTCGGCAGTGCTAATGTGTGAATTTGAGGGCTGAGATGCAGCCCTTTTGCTGGGGCCTCACTGCGGCCTATTGGATGGGTCCCAATGAGATCAGCTCGCTTAAGGTGCACGGGCAGCGATGGGTATTGCTTACCTAAGAGCGTTCGTGTTCCCAGACACCTCCTTGAATTGTTTTTCACATTTGCACTGCAGATTTCAGCTTGGTGGTCTTTCCTTTCGTATGAGCGGGCCTGGTTTGCAGTGATTTATGGCAGTGTCCTGGACATGCCGTTTACACCGTCACGGTTTACCAGCCGTTAATTCTGCTGCCACCATCATGGTCAAAGTGCTGAACATGTGTGTTCTAAGCAGGGATCAGTCATATAAAATTATTGGAGGATCAGTCCCTTTATTGAGTACACAACCACTTAAACCGTGCAGGATTGTTAAGAACGCTAAAACAAGTCTCTCCTGGCCGCCCTGTACTTAGCGTAAAATACGTACCCACTTTCTCATCACATGCAATATGCATTAAGTGGTAATCTCATTCATTGCTGTCTGCTTTAATTGTTTTGTTTATTCTTTGAAGTTCAAAGGAAATATAGATTCTTTTGTTTAATATACATATATGCATTATTTTGGATCTAGGTATGTCCTTGGAGAAATAGCACCTTAACAATGCACAAAATACAATTCCTGCTGAATTCAGAAAAGAACTTTCTCAAATAAAAATGTGGAAATAGAGAAAGAGGGAAAATACGTTTAATATTTCAGCAGCTAAAAGTTATTGTTAACCTGGTGGATTTTTTTGTTGAACAGGCTGTATATAATGGTTTATTTTTGTAACTTCAATGAAGCAACAGATAATGGTTGTGTGGTGTTCTTTCTTTGTAGTTAAACCACATAATACCATGAAAAAGACTTTCCTGAGGAATGCTGCATGGTTTGCCTTTTGTTAAAGCTTCATTGATGTAACACACAACAGCACTCAAAAGAGTGCATGGGGAATGTGTACAGAAATGAAGGCTACAAAGGATTCCTAAAAACAAAGAACAATGCATGGGTTTTTAAAGAATGTCCACATACTTTGAATAATTTGGAATATGGTTGTTTTCATTATTATGTTTTTAACGTGGACAAGCTTGAAGTTGCGAAACAGAATTATGAACACAGAGGAAAGCTTCACTAGCAATGAAGTGTGCCCTTTCAGATCTGGCTGGTAATGATCCTCATGGTGAGGAAGATGCGTTTGTTCTCTCTTCTCATTGGCTTTTCAGAAGAGGTAGGGACCCACACTGTTAGCTGAAGGCAGCTGCATTGTCAGGGCCATTTTGGCACCAGATGTCCACATCACGTGTATGATCACAGTCTGCGTAGGTCATTTCTGCGCTGTTTCCAGCATTAATGCCAATGTAGGCAAAGTTGTTGAGGAAGTGTTTTGTGCAAGCATAAGCCTAAAAATAAAGAATTGTAATTAAGAATTATATTTGTAATTAAGTAAAAAAAAAAAAGTCATTATATTTGTCTGTATATGTTCATTCATGCATTGCATGCATATATGTGTAATTCATATTTAAATATGTTGGTGGCAGTCCAAGGAAGTGGTTGTTTGATGACATTTACAATTCCATTTTATTTACTTGGCCCCCACTCTGCTCCTGAACTATGATGCTAATGTAAAGTGTGGATTTAGGACATGAGCTGTTCTGAAAGACTGTTTAGGTTTTGAATTATTTGAGTGCTTTCCAGATAAAAAAGGAGGAGTTGTCGGGTTTAAGTGTTACTAATTTTACTGCTGATTCTGTGCCGTGACATAGACGAAAGTGAGGGCAGTTATACTAAGCAGTCTTTCTACATAGCATTTTTCTTGGCTAGCCGATTTACCCTAGGATTTCTGAGCAGGGGGTGCACAGGTGGGCTGGTTTCCATAATATGTGGTTTTATTAATTCTGTCTACAACCCTAGTTGAAGAAAGGGGTTGGCTTGCTCTTTGATACTTGGTGCCCAGAGGATTGTTAATATTTTTAAACTTATGAAAAGCATTTTAACAAGAGGAAAAAAGCAATACTGCTGTTATTGAAAATGGAAATCTTGTCCTCTTTTTGAAGTGTATTTAGTGTTGGTATGTTGCTTGTTCAATTAATTAAATGAAATATTGATGCTTATCCAAAGGCAAGCAATTAGGCTGGAGAGGTCCATTTCTAAACATCTTGCTTTCCCTGTCATTGTCATCTTGAGTTTTACTTTACAGTTGAGTACGTTAAATGGTGTACTATTTAGCTGTCAAATAATATCACTAAAACAATTATATGACAATAGCATTCTGATCACAGCCCGAGAGATGATTAAATAATGCAATGTTAGAAGTACGCATCTGGGCTAAAATGCAATCTGCACATAGACCCTGAGGGTGCTGGTATACTCAAGTGGAATAGAAGTGCCTACATTGTGCTCAGTCAGGTGATCTTCATTTTCTTCTTCTTTCTTTCTTTCTGATGTAGCTGCTGTTAGCTGGTGCCCAGGAATATCTTGTAATGCGTATGAGAGCTGTTGAGGGATTGGCGTCAGTCGACATTTAACGGTTCCTTGTTGTCCATTTCTCCTGGAGAGTGCGTACATGGGAAGTGCTTTACATGTGTCCAGCAGTGTTTTTATTTATCTGTGTATGTCCTATATGTGAGCTTGCGTACATCTGTTAGAAGGGTATTGCCGTGCTTTTCTGTCAATCTGTACGGTGTGTATGGATGATATTAGCAATCTCTGATTGGTTAGATCATGAGGGCGGTACATATGCTGCACAGGCTCTGAGAAACTGTCATTATTAATGTAAGTGACAGTCTTCCCAGATAGGTGGCAAGTGGTGCCTGTTATCCCTACTAAAGTATATTGAGCCGTTAATAAACGGGGATTTTCTCTCCTTTTTTTTTCATCTGTGGAATGACAACCACGGAGAGAATATTCTAATGAAGTAAGAACTGGCCAGATGGCTGTATGTTGATGAATTTTTTTTTCTTCATCCTGATATTGCAGTTCATCGTTTTATACACTTGGAATTAGTCTGGGGACATGCAGTCAAAGTTGTAGTCATCTTTGATTTTTTTTTCCTTTTTTGCATCATCCTGTTGCATCTCATATTTTTATTCCTGGCCATGTGAGGAAAAGTTGCACAACTCATGCTGTATAAATTCAGTACCCCCTGCATGGACCCCCTGCTGTTGTTGATAGTTAACAGACCAGTGTGATGAATCAGTACAGCTTGGTTAATCTAGGGCTTTATACTGAAGGTAAAGAACACACTGCACTTTACATTCATGAAACTTTTCATCTTATATCCATGTGCATATAGAGAATTTGCATGTGAAAAGGAAAAGTATCAGAATAAGGCAATAGCTTTGGATCTACCCTGTTGTTATGAACTGGACACAAAGTAACAAGTGGATCAAATAGCACAAAACTGTAATCTGTATTCTCCAAGATTATTTTCTATACGGCTTCTGTAAGAATATCAGACTTATGGACAACTTGTACTTATGAATGAACTGCCTATTTAGCCTATTGTATTATAATTGTGTTATATACAACGGTATGTAATGACAAATGTGCGCACTACTTTGTGATGCTCCTGAAGACATTGCGCTGCTTCAGCAGTTTGTCAGCTTGGGGTACAGTACAGTACCATATGGAGGTACTTTTACTACTGTATTATTATTATTATTATTATTATTATTATTATTATTATTATTATTATT